AATGGCTATTTACAATGACGTATACGAATGCGATCAGATACTAAAACGTCATAGCTTTGAAAAGTACCCGGATGTTAAATATGTTCGTTCGTTAATTATTCTCCTCCATGAATGGCCTCCATGGCAAGCACTTCAAATGCCTATCCAAGCTACAGTTATAATTAAAACAAAATTAAACCACTGCAATATTATTTCGAATACAGTTTAGAATATACACAACTATAAATTAAGGCCGCATTTAGGTTCGCGATCAACGGTATCTGACTTTTTGGTGTGAAATACACAAATTGTTTATTAAAACGATTCATTGACGATTATCATAGGCATTACATCAAAATCGCCAACGAGATGTTGTTTTTAAACATCGCAGAAAAACATGCACTCTGCGCCGTCATCTTTGTTACCTCGATCAGAACTCCCTTGTAACCCAGCATGCATCGGTCACAATGTTGCTACGTGCATTATGTTGCCCTAGGGCAGCGTTCTTCGGTACTAAGACATCCTATGAATGGGGTGTTTCCAGAGGTCAGAGTTCCTTTTTTCTTAACCCATCTCGTCTGCTTTTGAATTATTTACACTTTTCTTTCCAATGCGACTTAATTTCACTTGTTTTTTTTTAATTTTGGGATAATTAATGTCACTGGCGATTAAGTGATAAACAATCGGAATGCAGCAAATCGGGGTTGATCTTCCCGACGTACGTCGTGACTTGTTTTGTCACATTGTTGCCGTTGCATTGCTACTACTGTCAAACACATTTTTTGACAACCATTTTCATCTCTTCTCCACTTTACTGATGAACAAATTCATGTTTGTATTCAGTATAACATTGTCATGCATGCATGAAAGTTCATTCAATCTAACAGTAAGATAAAACTGATCGTATCTCCTTGTATTCCGTACATCATGGTCTTAAAACTATTCAAAGACATCTCATGGTCTTTTCTTCTATTGCAGACACCACAGAAAGATTCGAACCCAGATTCTAGCTCAGTGTCTGTACATAAAGAGACGAGTTCAAGGAAGAGTGGCTGCTGCTGAACAAAAACAGAACAAGAATGAATGCTTCTCTATTCTAAGTATGTTCATCCCTATGCTAGATAATGGAGTCTATATATGTGGACTGCTTGCTGGTTCTTATAAAGAGCTTCCAAAACCTATCACACATACACACATGCATACACTGCACATCCTGTATCTATTGTCAGCATATCTATATTTCTGTGGATCTTTTTATTTTGCATAAAAATATTAATAGTAAAGTTTTAACACAAATAAATGAAAATACTGCATCAAACCATGTTACTTTTTTTCAGCGGTTTTAAATTGAAGTCAAGCAAAAGGTGCCTTTAGTGGTAGAATTTATTGAGATTTGATGTACAGGGATATTGTATGTAATGCATGCAAGATTTGCAAAATAAAAACATGAGAAAAATGTGTTTAATTCTGGTGAAAAATAAAGTAATCTACATTAGTTTAGGTATCATCAGTTGTATAGGCTGTGGGGATTTCTATCATCAACTTTTGACAGTTTATTTTGAGAAAAAGCATTTTTGTTAATAATTCCAAAGTCATTCTCAGATCATGCATACATTTTCCGGTCTTTTGTTTAATTTTGTGAAAATAGGTTTATTTACTAAAAATTTATAGTTCTCATAAAGAAAAGATTCCCATTCTATCACTACTGATTAGTTGGTTATTTGTACTACCAGTGAATGCAGAACTCGTTTAGAACGAGGGATATTTTTGTTGGGCATTGAGGGATGGGTGTGTGGGGTAGGGTGGTTGCCAGCATCTACAAAATTGTAGAAAACTCTGAAGGGGGAAAAAGAAAAAAATTGACTTTCTGAGAAAAAGCAATTTGCTATATCATCCTGCAAAGGAAAAAGTGATTCATCCCTTGACCCATTTGCTCCCTTCCACAGGATCGTATATCGCATATTTTCTTTTAATCTGATCAAAAATTCTGGTTTTCACATCCTTGAAATGTGAATTTGTTGTATCACGTTTCACTGGTTATATATCAGGAAGCAGTCAAAGTGTTGACACAAGGTACAAGCTCTTCACCAACAGCTTAACACTTGCATTTTAGTTTTTACGGCGTGCATTTGCTGCAAATTTCTGTAAATGAAGTCGAAAGCGAGTATTTCATTGTACTTTTCAGAAAATCAGATTTTATATTCTTTTCTGAACAAGATAAATCCGCTGATATGCAGTAGATAAAAGATGTGCTCCACACAACTTAGAAATGAATACTTACAAAGAGAAACTGCGACACCATATTTCTCACTGTGTCCTGGACTGTGATCACTGTCTCACTAAGGGATCACTGAGTGTTCAATTTCCAATCTGAAAATAGTTCTAGTAGAACTCTACTTTCTATACACTTTGAGGAAGTCTGTTTTATCAGTCTTAAAATGTGCTTGGTTTTGAAGTATACTCTTGCCTGTGGTGGCGCACTTCTGATTATATCCTGGGTACTTTCCTGATATTATAGATTTTATGCAGGAAAAATTTACAGAAGCAGATACAAATTAGATTTTTTTTGGGGGGGGGGGGGATGTATTTTGGTTTTTGTAGAAATATTTTGGACTGAAAATTTTTTTTTTTTTATTTACTTATAGCAGGCATGTGCAGAATCCTGCCTGTTTGAGTTGTAACTTATGATTTAAATGATAGATATTCTCGCGTTTCTTAGTCATGGAAATTTTTCAGTGGACATTTTTAATATTGTCTAAAGTTTTATGACAGTTTTGCTTTAGTCGTAATTAAATGTATGTGTGGTATTGTTTTATTGTGCTGTATGTCTATGATCAAGGGTTCATAAGATAACTTGTGTATAACTTGTGTATGATATATGATCAGGTGCCTGATTTGAAATCACATGAATTGTGAGATAATCTCAAAAACTGCATGACTAACTTGTATTCCTGGAATTGCTAATGCAAATTCTGTGAAAGGGAGTGATTGCCCCCTGCTGATTTTAAGTGTCATGGAGTATTCTTTATGTTTGTATCGTAGTTTTGAATAGCACACTGTTAATGCTCAATACTGTTTTAGCAATTAAATCTAAGCACCCATTAATATACTTAATATGATCCCAGTTATGAACTAGAGAAAAATAACAGGCACCGATTAGTTGATTATGATCATGTGACAGTCTTCTCAAGCTGATGTTTCCATTTCGCTTGTTTTTCTGATGTGAGCTATGATGCTATTGTTCTCAAAATGAAGTGTAGTCGTGAAGGTCGACCTTTGACCTCTAAGGACACTTCAATTTGAAGCGGGCTGATGTTCACTTGTTTTACTAATTTTTTTTTTCTAAATTCCAGGAAGGCGTTTCTAAAAAAGATATGCATCCTTGTGAAAAAAAATAGTAGTGATTGTTAAATGGATTAAAATAAATGCCCAACTTCTATTCAAAATGGCTTTTCAGTGGCCATCCATTAAACCTGAAAACAACAAGGGTTTTTCTTAGCACTCCTCTGCCCTATCAAATATTTCATATTATTTAAAATTCATAAAATTACCCATTCGATTTGTATGTTAGAGATGGAGCACAATAAAATGATATCACAAGGGCATGTATGTATATATAGTGTTTACAGTTTCTTGGTCG